CTTGGGCACAAACCCCGACTCGATGGCCTTCTTGCCGGCTTGGCTCTTCTTCCACTGCTCGAGCTCCTTGATCACGTCGAGGTTTTCTTGGGCAAAGATGTCGCTGGCCGCGGCCACGGCGGCAAGGGCGGCGCTGGCGATCGCAATGCGTTGCATGTTGGTGTGATGGAGAATGGAAATGTGGAAATGAGCTCAATGGGATGTCGACACCGCCGGCGTAGACAGGGCTCGAAACACTGCAGGGCCGCAACGCTGGATCGATGAAAGGTGACTTATCAGACGCGCGCTGAAAGCATGTGTTGTAGAGAGTCGATATGAACGAAATTGGGACGCTGTGTTGCCGCAAAAATCTACGTTTGAATGAGGAAGATAACCTAATCTTGATGTTTATCAGGAGGGAATTGCAGTGTGATTGTCTGAGTCATAGCCTCGAGATCTAGAGAGTGAAACGTGTGAGGTTGGGTATAAGAAGGACATATCGGACATCCAGTGCGTCGAATGCAGCGGTGGATGACACCGGTTCTGCACCGTACGATATGCTGCATACGTCAGAACAGCTGTTTCTTACGTTCGATCTGCGACGTTGCAGTTGATATGCCGTGTAGACAACTGGCATTCATGATTGATAGTACACGACTGCAGCACTGCACTTGATTACGCCGTTTCGAGATCAAATCTCATCCTGCAGCTGCGTGGTGGCCACTGCGAAAGAGGATCACCAGCTCACTGAAATATATTGTGGGAAATCAGTCTGGCTTAAGAACTATATGAACGATAAGATCTGAGTAATCGTCCACTTCGACACTACAAATATACAGTACTCTAGTAGGAGAGTTGGAACTTTGTACTTTTTCTGTTGAGGGTGAGGGTGCCGAGTGTCCGTTTCAGAACGGCCAGACCCAACATCTGTTACGATTGATGACGCCGCCGAATCTACACACCTGGCCGTCGATGTCTTTAATAAGATCTCGTGTGGTCCGGGTTCTCTTTAGCTGATACGGGCCACTGCGCCGGCTTGTATCCAAAACAACCTTGTACTTGCCATGAAGATTTCTCCTCGACAGGCGATCCCCAGAGACTAGAGCTCTCCTCCACGCAACTCAAATTCGTCTCTCAATACGTTCATATATCGAGTTGGTTAGCTTAGGCGAAAAAGTTGAAAGCATACCGCGGGCGCTTCGCTGCGGGTCGGGTGGCATCGGCAAGCATCGACTCGAGCGTCGCAATGCTGTGGTCAATGTGCGCGAGGTCATTCTGGGTGCTCGTGTAGTCTGCCAGCGAGACCCCGGCTAGCGGCGGAAGCTTGAGTATGCCCTCGGTGTTCAGTGCACTGCGCTTCGGCATCGTGAGCCGGTCGGGGTTGGCGGATACGCACTCACGGACATTGGAACAGAGTCTCCACGATGACAGCTGGAGATCGAGATGCGCTCTCTTGCCGTCACGAAGAAAGGCGGCGACCCCGTGGCATTCGGCGCAGTGCGCTGGATCGATGGCGATGTCGGCCATCTCGTGCGCAGGCTCGAGTGTGGCCGGGGCACGGGTGGCCCGGAGCCTCGCCAAGCACTCTGTCGTCAGATGCTCGACTGTACTGCCACGGCAACATCGGAGTTTCTTGTCTATCCACGTGACAATGGGATAGAGCAGCTCCAGCGAGGTATCGAAATCGGCCGGCAGCGCCGAGAGCCAAGCGGTTGTAAACGCAGAAATCGCATCGGGCGCCATCGTGGCGAGCACCAGGAGAGCGTTCGCCGTCGGGCCAAGTCGCGGCAGCTTCTGGCGGCGTCCCAGGGTGCTTTGATGTCCCAAGATGCTTCGACGGGGCGCCACATCGCGCACCTCGCCTTTCGACTGCGCAAGGGTGGGTGCAGCGCTCACAAAATGAGCCGTCACAAGGGCTTGAAGGGCCGGTGAGACAGACGGTGGGTTGTCGACAAATGCGCGCTCATACTCTGTCGAGCGACTCCAGTGGCTCCAAAGCAACGACACAAACGCGGCCGAGCAGCGACTGGCTCTGTCGAGCACGACGAGCAAGCTCGCAAAGGACCGGGGGCCCATGAGGTACCGCAGCATTTCCGAGTTGCCGGAACGAGAGCTTATGCCAAATGTTGTTGGACGCGACGACATTGCATCAAAGGCGGCGAGGAGTGCGTC